GGGAGGGAGAGGGATAGAGGTAAGATATCATGTGTGCGGGAGGGCCCACGACTAGGTCATCTCCCATGATGAGTGCATTCATTAAGCGCTGCAGAACTGCCAGGAGAGGGCAGGGAGAAGACAGTGCCAAGGGGCTAGGCCTGGAAAGCAGGGCAAGGCTGCAGGCAAGAGCGATCTGGACCAAAGGAACACCAAACACACAGCCTAAGAGGAGCGAGAAGGTACAGGTGCATTTGCCAAAGTGCACAACAACAGCACACTCTTCATTCCTAAGACTAGAACCACCAACCGAAACACTAACCCTGACTAGTGGCCACCTGGGCCAACGGGAGCTTTAACCACAAGCACATCCTGTGCCCTCAACCCCAACTGTGGTTGACACCATGCCTGGCACACAGCAGGTGACAGTGACGGCTTGTTACAGGGTGAATGCAGGGGGGGCATCACCATACGTCTCAGGGGCACTAAGTACCAGGAGCCTCCTCCTGCTCTCTGAAGTGGTCAACGTGTTTGGAGGGAAAGGGCCATGACATACGCAACTCACTGCCAAATGGCTCAGAAAGCAATCACGTGTATGCACACATTTCTAAGCATGAGTACCAACACATGAGGGGTAAGGTAAATAAAATAAAATGCTAACAATGGTACATCTAGTATAGGACGCTCAAGGGTTCTTTGCACTAACTGTATTTTTGAAAATTTTCTGTAAGTTTGAGATTATTTCCCCCCCAAAATGTTAGTTGTTGTTGTTGTTTTTAAGACAATTATTAGCTAGTGAACTTGGAAAGTGTTAACACTACTTTCCAACAAAAAAGAATGAAATTGTAAAGCCCAAAGCCCAGTCTGCTAGCCAGGCAAGTTGTAGAGTGTTACAGGGTGGCAGGGTGTAGAGGAGAGAGCTCCAAACTCAAAGGCACCTGGCCAGCCTAGGTGCAGGCTCAACTTTCTAGCTACTTCCATAAGCTTCGGCCACTTCTGTTTATAAAACATCCACACTCTTGTCCTGGCTGGTGTAGCTCAGTGGATTGAATGTGGGCCTGCAAACCAAAAGGTTGCCAGTTCAATTCCCAGTCAGGGCACATGCCTGGGTTGTGGACCAGGCCCCCAGTGGGGGGCACACAAGAGGCAACCACGCAAGAGATGTTTCTCTCCCTCTCTTTCTAAAAATAAATAAATAAAATCTTTTAAAAAAATCCACACTTTCTATTCATTAACCAGTGCGCTGCTCCAGAGGTAAGGTAACCCCAGCCACTTCTCAGCTCACTGAGGACTTACCAGTTCAGCAAACCCAGCAGGCCCCTGAGGGTCCCTAATGGCCAAGGAGAAAGAACCCTGAAGTAGGAGCCGGTTCACCTGGGTTTGAATCCCAGCTGGGCTGCTCACCAGCTATGTGACCTCATATAAGTCACCTGCCCCTCCCAGTAGGGAAAGGCATTCTTTCTCCCAAGGAACACAGCTCCAGTCAGCCTACCTCACCAGGAGGCCTGCCCAAACACACGTCTTTTATTGGGCTGGGGACCTCAGCCGAGAACATGATAAGTCAGGGAAGGTGAATGTTTTCTCAGCTACATATGGTGGGGGCAGCCTGGAGGGAGCTGTGGCATGATTTTCTTTCATAACTGATGATAGAAAAACAGTTGTAGAGCCAGCAATTGATGCTGCATTCCATATACAGGTAAAGGGTCAGTGACATGATATCACGGTCAGTGGCCCCTAATTGCCCCTCTATCTGTCGTCCTTTGGCAGAGACCCCCAACCTTTCTTTCTCACCACAGACATAATAATGCACACCTTTGTTAGTCATTGTGCTCAATTAACCACAACAGGAATTTGGGGGGAGGGTTATAGTTATCTCTCAGACCAGATTATTCAGAAGGAAAAAGCTTCAGCACTGCTGGAGTCCATTGGGAGAACAGAAGCAGTGTGCGGCTCCACAGCAAGGCATACGGACAGCAGGACATTACACAAGCCCCTAGAAAGGTACATGGTGGGGTCAGGCCAGAGTTACAGGACCGGGTCTCATCTCAGCTCTTAGCTTAATGAGCTCCCCGTATTCCAATTTCCCCGTTTGTAAACAGGGCTAATACCAGTATCTACCTTACAGGGACCACTGGAGTTCACTTAATCAACACATGTGTGGGTGATACAACAGCATGTGGCATGTAACAAAGTCTCAAGCAGTATCAGACATGTATTTAAAAGAAATTGTGGCAAAAGGTCAAGTTCAGCACTCTCGTGTTGCCCCCATTCTGTAAAAGGTCTCATGCCCTGGCCTGCATCAGACAACAGCCAAAGGTGGCTTAGTCCCTGTCAAGGGTTCCACCTGGCAGAAATCAGAGGGCACCCTCCACACCCGCCTCCCTCCCTCCCTCCTTCCTGGGAAACAGGTTCTGACTGGTGCCCTCCTCACACCCAAATATGCGTCTAAGTCAGGACTGCAACAGAAAGAATGCGGGCAAAGACCAAAGGAGCACCCCCTCGAGAATGGCAGCCAGGGGACCCCTGACTGGAAGGACACAGAGCACACAGCACACAAAGGAGCACCCCCTCGAGAATGGCAGCCAGGGGACCCCTGACTGGAAGGACACAGAGCACACAGCACACAAGAACATCTGGCCTGGAATGAGATGTAACCTCACCACCCAAAGTCAGGAAGCCAGTAGGAACCCCCAATTTTGCAGAGCAAGATACCGCTGGGGGCCACTAACAAGTTCTGATCTGGAGAGTCCTGAAACGAAAAGGGTAACTTTGCTGCCTCTGCCAGAGCTGCCTCCCTGCCCCAACTCAGACCTAAGCACGATGTCTTCCGTGAAGCCCTGCCTTGCTTCATAGATACAAATGGTCATCATCTCTGCCACCAGACTAATTTACACCTCATCTCTCCTTCCACACCCAAAGGGCACACCCAGAGGGAAGGGCTTATTTTCTCCATTTGAGTATCCCTAGTGATGGGCAGGCAGGCATTGAACACTGAGATGCTTGTTGAATGGCTGCTGGCCAGCTGGCAGGATATGTGGACAGATAGAAAAGGAGTTGGGAACATTCATCACCTCTATCATCCAGGCAGAAGATGCTGGACCTGGAACCAGAGGCACCCCAAGGAGGACAGGCATGCGTGATTCATGGCTTCACCCCTCAGAGTCTAGAGACCTGATGCGCAAAACTGGGACCCAGGAGCCAGAATAGGATGATGTCTCACCTCTCTACAGGTGTAGACATGTTGTCTAAAGGACCTAATCACAACAACCCACAATCCATTGGCTCTGCTCCCCAAGAGCAGATGTCTGTCCTAGACAGATGGCCCTTTTCCTGGTTTCCATTCCTGCCAAGGCTGCTGTCCCGGAACTCGTCACCCTGCTGCCCAGAGAACATCAAAAGCAGTGAGCAAGCAGCTCTACTCAGGGAGTCCAGGGAAGTATCACTGGAGAGACTCCAGGTTGAGTGTGGGCCCAGGGCCTTGGCCACCAGGTAGACCTTGGGGAGTAGAGAGGTTTGGCGAGTCTGGGTTAGGAGCCTGGCTAGGGCGCAGCGGAGGGTTGCACACAGCCTTGCTCCCAACCTGCCTTCATCCACTGAGGCCTGGCAGTGCTCACAGAAGATGGACCTGAGCACTTACACCTTCATGAATCCCTTCCCGCATTAATAAAAGAAAAAAATGTTAATAATCATACTTTGGCAGCCCAGCTTAGTTGGTTAGAGTGTCATCCTGATACACCAAGGTTGCCACTTTGATCCCTGGTCAGGGCACACACGAGAATCAACCAACGAATGCATAAATAAGTGGAACGACAAAAATCGCTCTCTCTCTTAAAAAAATCCAATTAAAAAAGCCCTACTTTTCCATTGCATTGTTATAAAAATGAATGCCTATATGCGGACACTTTTTAACCTACAAGGTTTTTCATTTTTCTACTTATTTTTAAAAGAAATCAGCCCTGGCTGATTTCTCAATCAGTGGATTGAGCACAGGCTGCGAACCAAAGGGTCCCAGTTCGATTTGTGGTGAGGGCACATGCCTGGGTTGAAGGCCAGGTCTCCAGTGGGGGCCACATGAGAGGCAACCACACACTGATGTTTCTCTCCCTCTTTCTCCCTCCCTTCCCATCTAAAAACAATTTTTTAAAAATATATAAATCACATTGTCACAGGCTCCTAAAAGCACTGTGGGACCCAGCATTGTGTCTCCTGTTCCTGTTACACAAACTGGCCCTGCATTTGGGGATTTGATTTTTTTGCTGCAGTTCAGAGGAGAAGGGGTAGAGAAAGTAGTTAGAGAAAAATTGTCTAGAACCTTCTAGCTGCCATGATTCTGACCCCCCACCACAGGCTTTTTTTATGGAAACACAAGTTCCAAGGAGAGTTCCAAAGGTATTTAATCATCAAATACAAGGAGCAGTCCTAAGAACCTGGCACTGTCCAGGTTCCTATTACTGTGACACACCTGCGGGGCATCGCGACAGTCTCTGTCCCAGGACAGGCCCGCTCGCGATGCTGGGTGACCTCCTAGGGGCAGGTCTCTGAGCAGAATACTTCTCGAGTGTAATACTTCACTGACAATAAGCGACACGGCCACCGCTGTCCAGCGGAGGGGTTTCCAGGGATTGACGCCAGCACCAACTCACTGCTGGGCGGAAGCAAGGGAAACCAGGTCCCTCCACGAGATGCTCTCTCGACCCCCAGCACTCCAGCCTAACCCCAGCCGCTGGACCAGCAAAGAGGGCGCGTCCAGAGCGCAGCTCCCGGGCGAGAGAACTCCATCACTCTCGCTTCCGTCAACCTTCAAGCACGTAGTGCTCCACGGACGTGCACCCTCAGGCAACACGCCTCGAGAACTAAGTTCCATGGTGCACGAGGCGCTCGAGCCCAGGTAAACTCATGGTTTCCCGGGGTGCACGGTCCAGGGCGGCCGATGCCGCGGCCTCTGAGGACGCGGCCCAGCCAGGTGGAAGGTGGTCCCGGACTACCCTGCCCCGCACGCCCCGTCCCCCCGCGCCGCGCACCTGGTCGCAGCGGCTCGGTGACTGTGAGAACGAGCAGGAAGAGCAGCAGGAAGGCACCGCTGTCTGCCTTGGGCACCATTTATCCTCCGTTCATCGTCCCCGGGGCGGCCGCGTGACCCCGCGGGGAGGCCAGACTGGGCCTGGCTGAGGGTCGGGGGACCGGACCGGGATGGGACCTGAGACAGGGCCGGATACGAAGAGGCGGCGAGAGAGGGCTCCGGCTGGGCCGTGGCTGCACTGGGCCGCGGACTGGTACGCAGCCTCGGCCACAGTCTCGGGCTCGGACTCCTGCTTCGCGCAAGATGGCGGCCGTCCTGCTCCGCTCCGCGAGGCTCCGCCTCCCGCCCTCGACACCCGTGCAGGCCAGTGAGCTCCGAGGCTGGGCGGGGCCTGAGCGTTCCCGGTTGGTGCCAACCAGTGGCGGAGCTGGGGCGGAGCCTGAGCCGTAGGGCCCGAAAGGGGCGAGGCCTGAGATCGGGACTGTGAGGGGAGGGACGGGGGCAGGACTTAGGGAGTGAAGTGTACCATTGGCTAAACAAAGAGGTGGGGCTCGGAGTAGATACCTGGGCGGTAGGGACTCCGAAGGGCCCAGGATCCTAGGGGGCGGGGCAGGGGCAAGGGGACGACCTAGAGGACGGACACAGAAAGGGGCAGGGCCCAGTGGGGCTGAAAGGTGGAGAGAGGAGGGGCCGGGAGTGGCCCAGGGGGCAGTGCATGGAAGAAGGCGGACTGGACACAAAGGGTCTTCGCGCCTTGCACACCTGCGGCTGAGATCCGGTCCACGGCCCAAGAGTGCACCCTAATGTGGTCTTTAGGAAGGTCTCCAAAGCAGTGAGGAAAACTGGAAGGCCCCGTACTATATTCTAGGAAGTTGGGAAGGAGGATCAATACTCTGAGGTACACGCAGGTCTGACATCGCCAGCACACACAACTGAAAATGTTTCAAACATGAGGAAATAGCCTAAAGGAGTGTCATACGAAGATAACTGACAGGGAAGCCCCATTCTACAGAGACCCTGTAGTAAAGCTGGCTCTGGAGGAAGGGTCCTGACTACACAATGGGGTAGGAAGGAAAGGAATATTGGGCAAAGTTGCTGCCGCATCAGGCCACATGTGCAAAGAGGGAAGCCACTGGGGACAATTCTCTAAGTACTGATTTTGCACCTGATTTTATCGGGAACAAGGTGTGTGTGTGGGGGGGCAGCAGATAGGGTGTTCTTAGCAGGAGAGAGGAGCAAGCTCTCCAAAGAAAGGACCATCAGCCATGTATATGAGGCCTGGCACAGGGTGTGAAGGCTGTAAAAGAGGGTGAAGATGGAAGCAGAGAAAGCAGGGAGGACCATGGCAGGTGAGGACCCATCCCCACCGGCCCACTCCCCAGGAGTAGGCCTCTCAAGCTCCCTCAAGGCATGGTTCTCCTAAGTGTCTCTTAACCCTGGGACACAGGGCCATCAGAGAGAAAGGCACCCATACCCCCTGGGCAGATATGGCCAAGGTTGAACCTAAGGCTAGACCAGACCTACCTGCATCTGCTCCTCAGTGTGGCCCTGAGCAGGTGCTAGACAAAGAGGCTGTCACAGCAGAGGGCTTCACTGCCGGCAGAAACTGGTCCCTGTCCAGCGCTGACGTCTCCACTTGCACTGTCCTCAGTGGGCATTCCAGGAGCAGCTGAGGGCACTCAAGGCAAGATCCAGCTTCTGCCCCAGCCCCAGATCTGCCCTGGGAGCCCAGCCAGGGCTATGGTCTGGGCAGACCCCCAAAAGGGGAACACACAGCCAAAAGCAGAAATCCCTGCCAGTTGTCCACTGTGCAGATCACTGTCAGAGAAGCAGGCCAGTGAGGTTTGGGATGAGGAAAGAGAACTACAGAGAGGTGAAGAGTCCAGCCAAACGTGCAGGAGAGGGCACAGTTCTGGCTTCCTGAAGGTAGCACCCCCCCAGGGCCTGGAGTCTTTGCTCCTCCTGACTAACCTCCACCCTTCACCCTGCTGCATGGCCTGCAGGCCACCTGTGTGGACACAAGCAAGGGCCTCCAGGACTGAAGAGAAAAGATCAGGGATATTTCTGCCCAGCTCCTTGCCTGTGAGGTCACTGTGGCCTACCTCAAGGTCGCCCTCTCTACACTACCCTTCCAGGTTCCAGTGATCATTCCTCCCTTCTTCCAGGAGTGTGTGACTACCATTGGGGTTTCCTACACTCTGCTCCCACTTTTGCAAATTATGCCCTTATTAAACCCTCAGACCACCCCAACTGGAGTATATCTTGTTTCCTGCTAGGACAACCACCCGCCCTGGGTTTCACAGGTTGCACTAATTAGCTCTGCTGCTCAACAAGCAGTCCTTGGTTTGGAGACATGGTGTCCCCATGGACCCCCTGCTACCTTTGGTCCCAGCCAAGTGCAAGGCCACTCTCTGTGGGCTTTCAGACTGCTGCAGCCCAGTGGCTAGCCTTCCAGGGTTCTGAGTCCAAGTGGCTTAAGCCAGAGCCACATTCCCTAGGGATTCCTTTATGACTTCACCCACTGAAGTCGCTTGGGAAACAATGCTGAACGTTCCACCCCAGAGTCTGGGCCTCTAAGGAGGCAGGGACAGCAGGCAAGGCCAGCCCAGAGGACTCTCTGTTCAGAGTGTAAATGAAGACACTGCTGGCCCATGTCTCGCAAGGATGTAGAGGGCAGCCTCAGAGGCACTGGGTGCTCCTGGCACCATGGATGATGCTGCCATCCTCAAGCGACGAGGCTACATCATGGGAATAAATTTGGGAGAGGGCTCATATGCAAAAGTCAAATCCGCTTACTCTGAGCGCCTAAAGTTCAACGTGGCAGTCAAGATCATCGACCGCAAGAAAGCCCCCACAGACTTCTTGGAGAAATTCCTTCCCCGGGAAATTGAGATTCTAACCATGCTAAACCACCGCTTCATCATCAAGACCTATGAGATCTTCGAGACATCGGATGGCAGGATTTATATCATCATGGAGCTTGGGGTCCAGGGTGACCTCCTTGAATTCATCAAAACCCGGGGAGCTCTGCATGAAGATGACGCTCGCAAGAAGTTCCACCAGCTCTCCTCAGCCGTCAAGTACTGCCATGACCTGGACATTGTCCACCGAGACCTCAAGTGCGAGAACCTTCTCCTTGACAAAGACTTCAACATCAAGCTGTCTGACTTTGGTTTCTCTAAGCGCTGCCTGAGGGATGACAGTGGCCGAATGACACTGAGCAAGACCTTCTGTGGGTCAGCGGCATACGCAGCCCCCGAGGTCCTGCAGGGCATCCCCTACCAGCCCAAGGTCTATGACATCTGGAGCCTGGGCGTGATCCTCTACATCATGGTCTGTGGCTCTATGCCCTACGATGACTCCAATATCAAGAAGATGCTGCGCATCCAGAAGGAGCACCGCATCGACTTCCCTCGCTCCAAGAAACTGACAAGTGAGTGCAAGGATCTCATCTACCGCATCCTGCAACCAGATGTCAACCGGCGGCTGCGCATTGATGAGATCCTCAGCCATGGCTGGGTGCAGCCTAAGGCCCGGGGTCTGTTCTCTGCAGCTATCAACAAAGAGGGGGAGACCTCCCAGGAAACTGAGCCCTCAAGGACCTCTGAGCCTGTCTCTGACAAGAAGTCTGTCACCAAGCTGGAGCCCCAGGAAGAGGCACAGCCTGAAGTGAAGCAGGAGTCAAAACCGGAAGAGAAGACGCTGCAAGTGCAGGTGTCAAGGCCTTTGGAGACCACCAGCCTTGCCCTGTTAGGCAAGCAGCCAAACAAGGAGACAGTAGAAGAGGGCTCCCCAAAGCCTTCGGAGACACATAGCTAGTGAGCTTCTTGCATGGCCCAGGGGCTGGCAGGGAATGAGGTAGAGGTGACAGCTTTGAGCCTGTGCTCCAAAGAAGTCAAGGGACAAGCAAGTGAAGGGAAGACAGTCCAGGAATAGGCTACTATTTTCGGCAGTTTATTTTCCCTCCCTTTGAACTTGGTAACCCACAAGGTAAAGAAGGAATAAATCACTATATTAGCACAGGCTCTATGGTGAATGTCTTTGCCCCAGCTGACTGGGTTCGTCCGGGGAGAAGATACATCCCACCCCACCCCAAGTTTGGAAAATATATCCCAGTGTGCTTAACCCTGACCATGACCTGGGGCCCTGGACCAGAGCAGAGCACTGAAGTGAGGGAGATGCTGCTTCAACAGGCAGGCCACGAGTGCAGTGTTGGGTGGGGAGGGGATAAAGAGAGGACAGGACCAAGGAGGGCAAGGTGGCTGCTTGTAGATAACAGGTGGGATGGGAGGAGGACCCAAAAAGCTGCTGGTGGGGAGGGACCTGCAGAAGGCAGGTGGACCAGCTTCTCAGACTCTTGAGCTCCCCACCCTGATGGGCAACTCAGTTTTTCTGCTCTGTTCACCAGGGGTTCCCCTCTGTCCAACTGGCTCCCAGCTCTCAACGGTTCCCTGAGTCGCCCCGCCCTGGGGCACTGCCTCAGCCCAGAGGAAACAGGGGGCTCTGCTGGGCAGCCCAGCCACACTCCAGCCCGTGTGTCCCACAGCAACTCTGTGGTCTTGACCACACCCTGTTCCCTTCTGGTTCCAGCCTGTCCCCAGGAATGCCCCTACCTGCCAGAGTGGACAAGCTGATACTGGGGAGTAGGAGACCGCTATCCTCACAATGCCTGCCTGGCTGCTGCGGCCATCTGTGTCCCACAGAGGGAGCAGGCTTGCACTTAGCATCACCAACCGCAGTGCTCTGCAGGGCCCTGCCTGCCCTTTCCCATGCGGTCCTCACCTCTACTGTGATGGCCCTTTCTCTTCCTGCCCTGCACTCGCTCTGACAGCCTCACGTGGACCTGCAGGGTTAGCACATCAAGAGGGCCAGTGCCTTCAGACTTACCCCTGCCTCCTGTCTCTGGAAAATCCCAATCCCCAGCCCTCTAGAAGTGAGACCCGACCTGCAACCCTCCCCCAGAAGTTAGTTCACCACTCTGCCTGGCTCCCTCCTCTCTCCCCACAGCCGCCTTCACACAGACCGTGTCCTCCTATCTCCGTGTGTGTGTGTGTGTGTGTGTGTGTGTGTGTGTGTGTGAGTGTGCGATGGCTCAGCCACCACTGAGGCCTCGTCCTTGCCCTGGCATTGCCTCCCACAGCACCCAGTCTGGCTCCCTCTGCTGAGGAGGGATCCCAGTGCCTGGCCATTGAGGTCCTCCCTGGTCTGGCCTCTTCCTGGCCTCCTAGCCTCTTCCCTCACCCTCACACACATTATAATCATGCTTGTGCATGCATCCCTGCAGACCTCACAGGGGTCTCTCTCCAGCCTCAGCTGAGGGGTCATGGCCTCCACAAGGCTTTCTAATAGCACTCAGCAGCCAGCCACTGAGCTCTGCCATGGCAGGCCAGTGAGTGCCCAGGGCCCAGACACATATCAGGCCGCCCAATTCTCAGTGAAGACTGAAGGCTCCTGGAGCCCAGTCATGCGGCTTGTCTGGTGGTGGAGTGGGATTACAGAGCACCAAGTGGACCTGAGATGGGAACGTCCCAAGGAGAGGCTCCTGAACCTCCTCCTCTCAGTCACATTGGTCCTCAGGGCAGCAGGCACTGGGCAGAAGGAGGGCCCTGAGTCTCACTGCAGCCCAGCCCTGAGGTGAGCCTGGGTGGGATGGGCCCCAGGAAGGAGCACTTACTGTGTGCTTTCCAGGTAGAGAGACAGCTCAGAGAAGGCAGTCAACTTCCTAAATCACACAGCATGGAGTGGCAGCCTGAGTGACTGAAACCACAGCTCCCCAGGTGGCCTCATATGCTGGCCATGCCTGAGAACTGCTCAACCCTGGACTCAGCCTTGGCTTAGACCCCTTCAGTGACTGTTCCCCCAAAGGCTTTAGGGTCAAGACCCTCTACATGGGTGCTGTGACCCACCGTGCTCCCTACTGTCCTTATATCCTTCCGACACATTGTCCATTCAGGCCATCACATGCACCTGCAGTCCTCATCTGCCTGCATGTGGCTGACTCCTAAGACCTCAGCCTTCCCAGACCTCCTAGCCTCCCCAGTCCATCGGAGCGACAATGAACTTCCCTGGCCTCTGGGCCCCAGGAAGGCATGGGTCCTTTCTAGTTAATCAGTGTACCCCAAGCCCTAGAAGTGTCCCTTAAATGCTTATGGGGCGAATGGACAGGTAGTGGCCCTATTTATGGAGGAAACCGAAGCTCAGGAGTGCCCTTCTGAGGGTCTGCAGGTCTCTGAACCACAGGACTGCAGTTCGGGAGCCCTATTGGATGTGCCCTGGTCCAACCTAACATTCCTGCCTCCACATACCGGGAAGCCCTACCTCAGCGTGGACAACATGGGCAAAGCTGCCTGCCCATGCCCCTGCATGATGCTGAGACCTGCCTCCTCCGCTATGTCCAAGAACCAAAGAGGCCACACCATCCAGGCAAGATCAGGGTAAGAGGGCGTAGAATCCACAAAGTGGGTCAGTGGAATTGGTCACAAAGGAAGATATGCAGGAGCATCACAGACAGGACATTTGGGGCACAGAAGAAATGGGGGTTCATCCTCACCCAGCCGTAGGTCCTGGACGGCTAATCATCACAGCTAGCCCCTTCTAGAACACAGAGTAATAAGGTATTGGTCATTAAGGCTAAAAAGAGCCCCCAGAAGTGGGCCTCAGGGAGAAAGCAGCTCTTGGGGAGGCCTGGCTGCTGGAGGGTAGTCGCCCACTGTGGGCCCACTCTGCTGGGGGCAGTCACTCCCACCTGGCACCTGCACTCTGGCTGCCCTGCCCCTGCCATTTTCCACATGGACCTCCAGACCCAGAGAGCTCCCGACAGGCTCCAGGTACATCCACATGGCCATGCTCTGGTCCATGTTACATGTGTCTGCCGGCCATGTCTTGTCCCTCATCAACCTGGTGAAGCCCTATTGATCCTCTGCACACCAGCTCCATCTTCAGCCCCTGTCCACCCGCACAGAGGCAGGCCTTCCTCCCTCTCCCTGAAACACAGAGTACATGGCACGTGGGTCCTGACAACTTGCTGCCTGCGACATGGGATGCCTGTGGGGGAAAACAAATGAGCTGCAGGGCTTCCAATGTGCCTAAGGAGATGTATGAGGGAGGCCTTATCTTCCAAAGCAGAACTCCACCCATGTGCCCTGAGAAAGAGTTTTCATGTTGTTTCCAGGTGCAAAAGGAGGTCTGAGAGATGCATGCAAGGCACTTTCCCAGGGTTCCAACAACTACAACATGTCACTCCTCACAAAGGCCCAAACTGATGTAATTTAGGATCCCTCCCCACCCAGGTGCTTGCTCTTTACAGTTGATGCTATGGCTGCTGCGGGACCTCAGCATCGTCAGGACCCCCAGCACCCAGGATCTGCCCAGGGCCCCTCCCTATCACCAACCAGCTCGCTAGACCCTGTTGTCTCCCTGTGTTGCCTGGAGCCCCCAGACCCGCCCTCAGCCAGCTTCCTCTTGCCTGGTTGAAGGCACTGGCCTCCACTCTCCCCAAAGCCCATTCTCTGTGCTGCCACCTTAAAATGTGAAGTGGTTTACAGCTCTCCCTGCCTTGTGCCCTGCAACGGCTGCCCATCACTCAGGGAAAAGCCTCCACTGACCTTTTCTGCCACCTCCCTCCTGTTTGTGGACTCCACCATTCTCAGAAGCCCTCTCCTCTCCCAGGCTCTTCCCTACCTGGATGCCTCATCACCTCCTCCTCTACCTGACAAGCCCAACTCATCCTGCAGGTCTGCCCCAGTCCTCGGGACGAATCTGCCAGCCTGGGACCCGCAGCACCTCAGAGCCCTGCCTACCCTTCCACCCCTCACATGTCCCACCCATTGCAGCAGCAGCAGCAGCAGCAGCACTGATCCACCCAGCTTGGACACCAGACGCTGCTCTTGTTCACTAAGCTTGGAAACACTGCCAGCTTGGCCAGACCAGAGCAGTCCCTCCCAGGCACTGCCAGTCCCAAGGACACAAGCCCTAGATGGAGTTTTCTTCATATCCAAGAGAAGCTGCAGCAAACTGGCCACAATGGGACAGGAACCAATGCAGAGTAAGGCCTCACAGTCAGGAAAGGAAAATCAGCACAGGGCTGGTGCTCCGGCTGGACCCAGGCAGCCCCAATCTTGGGCCTGACTTGCGACAGGGAAGCCATGACGAGGAGAAACAGGAAGGGTTACCACGGTCCTGGGTGCTGGCTTCCTTCCAGTGGGCGGCAAGTAGCACTCCTATCAGGCCAGCCTGGCTTCAGGGTTCTAGGGGCCCTGTTCCCCCCAGTCCAGGCTCCACTCCTGGCTGCCTGGCTTTATGACTTCACAGGCTGAAGTCACGTGGAGATAATGCTGAGCATTCCACAAGTCCAGGCCAGCCCAGCCAGACAGCTCCCCGTACTGTAAATGAGGATGGTGCCTGCTGGCCCATGTAGGGAGGGGATGTAGAAGGCAGAGGCGCCGGCCGCTCCTGGCACCATGGATGATGCCGCGGTCCTAAGGAAGAAGGGTTACATCGCGGGCATCAACCTTGGCAAGGGCTCCTACGCAAAAGTCAAATCAGCCTACTCTGAGCGCCTCAAGTTCAATGTGGCGGTCAAGATCATTGACCGCAAAAAAACACCCACTGACTTTGTGGAGAGATTCCTTCCTCGGGAAATGGACATTCTGGCAACTGTCAACCACCGCTCCATCATCAAGACCTATGAGATCTTTGAGACCTCGGACGGGCGCATCTACATCGTCATGGAGCTTGGTGTCCAGGGTGACCTCCTTGAGTTCATCAAGTGCCAGGGGGCCCTGCACGAGGATGTGGCACGCAAGATGTTCCGCCAGCTCTCCTCAGCCGTCAAGTACTGCCACGACCTGGATGTTGTCCACCGAGACCTCAAGTGCGAGAACCTTCTCCTTGACAAAGACTTCAACATCAAGCTGTCTGACTTTGGATTCTCCAAGCGCTGCCTGAGGGACTGCAGCGGGCGCATCGCCCTCAGCAAAACTTTCTGTGGGTCAGCGGCATACGCAGCCCCCGAGGTCCTGCAGGGCATCCCCTACCAGCCCAAGGTCTATGACATCTGGAGCCTGGGCGTGATCCTCTACATCATGGTCTGTGGCTCTATGCCCTATGACGACTCTGACATCAAGAAGATGCTGCGCATCCAGAAGGAGCACCGCATCGACTTCCCTCGCTCCAAGAACCTGACGGGTGAGTGCAAGGACCTCATCTATCGCATCCTGCAACCAGATGTCAACCGGCGGCTGCACATTGATGAGATCCTTAGCCACTCGTGGCTGCAGCCCCCCAAACCAAAAGCCATGTCTTCTGCCTCATTAAAGAGGGAGGGTGAGGGCAAATACCGGGCTGATTGCAAACTGGACACCCGGCCAGGCTCACGGCCTGAGCACCGTCCTGAGCACCGGACTGAGCACCGGCCAGAGCACCGGCCTGAGCACCGGCAGGATCACAAGCCGGGGGCTAAAACCCAGCACCGGATGCTGGTGGTGCCTGAGAATGAGGACAAAATGGAGGACAGGCTGGCTGAGACCTCCAGGGCAAAAGACCATCATGCCTTGGGAGCTGAGGTGGGGAAGGCAGGCTGTACCTAGGGTACAGAGGGCGGGGGGGTGGAGCGTGGTGCATGGTGGCGCCCAAGTAAGCTAAGTAGGCAGGTAGGAGCTGAAGAAGGCACAGGTGCAAGGAACAAGTAAAATCTGTCAATTAAACCACTATTTTGATTACGTTCTATTGGCTTTCTTCCACTTAGTAGCAAAGACGTTAATTACTGACCACCAAATAAACCACGAAGTGTAAACAAGCATCAAGAGTGCCCCCTGAGGAGTCTTTTTCTCCAGAACTCAGCCAGCCACCCTCCATGGGGTGTGGGGGTCTCCAGCATAGGGGTCCAGGGACCCATGCTCAGGCACAGGTACTCATGTAGAGAGCCTGTGGGCAAGGAGAAGGTCCCAGCCCTGGACCACCCACTGGGCGCCCACTGGCCTCCGTGACTCGCCTGTGCCCAGCGCCTCCAGGGCTGGCCAGGGGCATGGATCTCCACCTCAGGCACAGCACAGCCCACTCTGACCCCATCCCGCTCCCTCAGACGGTCCTTCCTCAAACTTCCCCTTTCCCTCTCCCCTCCCCTCAGAGTGTCCCCCTCATCTCCCAAGCAGGCAACCCCAGCTGAGACCTCTGACCGGCACTCTCTCGTCCTGATCACCCCCTCGTCCTGATCACCCCGCTTAGAGCCCTATTTTGTCACCTGTCATTCCCTAGGGCACACTCCCAATAGGCCAGCCCAAGTGCTGGAAGTCATCAGCATCTGGACTTGGGTAGCCTTGCCTGGACAGTGTTCCTCTCTGCCTCTCACTCACACCCATTCAGACCTGTCTCCCCCGCTTCCTGAAGATGACCTCAGGGTGGCCCAGGGCCACCCTTCCCTATGGGGGAAAAGCACCAAAATGCACATGTTCCAGTCCCAGCCCTTGGCCCAAGCTCACCTGCTAAGCCTGCCCCCAGCCCCCTCTGTGGGTCCTAGGGCACATCCAGGGCTTGGCCTCCAGGAGCATGCAGGAACTCACTGTCCAGGAGTGTAGGCTAGTGGTGCCCACCAGGCAGCAGCCCTGCACCAGCCTCCACAGGACACTGGCACTCCTGGAGGGCAGAAGAGGACCAATGCAGGGGTGCCCAGGAAGATGGCCTAGGGCAGGGCTGGCTGTACTTGAAGCAGGACTCCAGCCTGAGGGATTCCAGGTTGCCTCCCTGAGCAGCGAGCCCTCAAAGGCACGGTCTGGCCCCAGCTGAGACCAGAAGAGACCTATGTGGCAAGCAGCCATGGTCTTGGGCCCCTCACCTGCATGTGAAGCGGCTGATCCTGGACCTCTTGGGGGTTGGGCAGCAAAGCCCTCAGGCTGCTGAGAAAATGCTGGCTGAGGGTGCAAACAGCGCTGTCAGGTCTGCATGGAGCCAGGCCCCACTGCCTAACACTGTGGCCAGGTTACCATTACCTGCGGCTGCTCTTGGTGGGAGTAACCAGGTGAGACTGGTTACTTAGCAGCCTCAGGCCAGCAACGCCTGGAGCACTGGGGAGAAGGGCAGGAAGGAAACAGCCCTGCCCCGCCTAGAAGCCAGGTGCTCAGAGGTCATGGTGAGGCCACTGGGTATTTCATGCAGAAGTGTGGCCTGACACCCAAGTAGGACCCATGCAGCCCTGTCACTGGCAAACCATGCAGGCCAGCCAGGCCTAGCTGGGGAGGCTGCAGACCTGGGCCCAGAGCCCCAGTCTGAACTCCCAAGGGCTGAACTCCCAAGGGTTCTGTCCCTCCGTCAGAGGAACAAAACTTGGAGCAGGGGTAGGGAAGTAGGGGACCGTCATACTATGTGCTCAGCTCAGAAGGTTTTGAGCCCAGGAGTGCCGCAGAAAGCAATGCACGTGGTGACAGGAAAGGCCACACACTCTGGCCCTCCGAGGGTCACCCCACAGCGTGGCAGCCTCCCCAGGAGGCCCACTGTCCTGAGGCCTCAATGCAGGCCGAGGGACAGCCTCGGGGCTGTGCAGGCAACAGGATGTAGAGTCGGCCTGCAGGCTCTGCTAGGTGTTCTTTACTTCTGGTTACAGAGAAACGGGCATGGGTTTCCATAGAAAAAAGTACTAGCAAAGCCCTGGGACGCACAACAAGGACCACAGGGTGGGTCCTGCGCCAGCCTGGCTGTGACATGGCACCCTTCTTCTGTGGCTTCTGGGACAGTTATGCTTTTGGTCCAGGCCTGGGTCCCTAGAAGGCCGGGTCCTCTGCTGGGTGGATAGCTGCCCTGTGGGCTCCACAAATCTCCCATGAGCCCAGCCCGGGCCTGGCCCTAGAAGAAGTCTGAGGCTTTGCGCCGGGCGGGGAGCTGCAGCAGGTTGTCCGTGATGGAGGCTGGGTCCTGGCTGAGGGGGGTACGTGTGGCAGAGCCAGGCGCTGGTGTGCCCGTTGGGGTCTGGGGCCCGCCGGCTGGGGTCTTGAGGTGGGCTGAACGTGCTGGGGACGGTGTGTAGCTGGCGCGCAGGGCCCGGTCTGTGTACTTGCTGGCTGTCCTGCTCACAAGGCGCTGTAGGGCTGGGGACATGGCTGGGCTCAGGCCTTTGGGGGTGAGGCTGGGGTGGAGCCGGTGAATGAGAAGGGCAGGAAAGAAAAAAGAGGTAGGATTAGGCCAGGTGGGGCACCAGCAGCAGCAGGGACTGCCACAGCCCCACAGGAAGACACATGGGAGACTCCTGGTCATCCTGGGCGGAGCGCCCCAGCAGCCCGGGTTACCACAGCACGGCCAAACCTGAGGATGGGTGCTGCTGCTGCCCCTGCCTGTGGGGCTGGGGTGAACCCCCACGTTCTCTATGGGGAATGATAATACCCATCTACACAGGGTTGATACGAGCTCACAGTGGGACAACAGTCCTAAAAGTGCCTCTCAGGGATGTGCCAAAGAGGGGGCTGTAGAAAAGATGGAGGGGTCCTCCACATCCAGGTTCACACAGGGCCTCACTCTGGACTAGAGAAGCTGCCACAGGACCCGAGGAAGGACCCTTGAGCCTGCCCTGCAGACCGAATGTCCACACTGTGGGGAGTGGGGGGCGAGCGGGAGCGGGGAGAAACCCCTACAAGGGTCAGGCACCCTCACCTGGCCAAGTTCTCCGTCACTCTCCGCAAGGCCTCCTGCTTCTTGGCCCGGTTCTTGGCAGCGGCCTCATTGGCCATCTTCAGCCCCAGCCGCTCCCTGCGGCCTGGCTCCAAGATCTGCAAAGTAGGTGTGTGGGTGGCCTGCGCCAGCATGCCACTGAGCCAGGCGGTCCCTTGCTGCTGGAGGGGCTGCCTCTTCCCATGGCCCCCCACAATTCCAACATCACCTCCCCTAAAAGCCCCTGAAGAGCCCCCAACCAGCGAGGCAAGCTGCCCACCCCACCTGTCATCATGGTTTCCTCAAAGGCAGCACTGCTGAGTGAGGGCCCTCACAGTCCTTCAAAAAGGAGGAGGGTCTTGTTTTAATCTGCCGCCCTCTACTTCTCTGCCTTTATCGACTGCCTGTATTTCTTTTGAGAACTTCCCGAAACGTGTCCTTGGCCGACTTCTATGACGCGGTGCTTCCCTTGCTTTTTGGTTTAGCTGTTTTTCACTCGCAGGAGTTTTATCCATGTTGGTTATATTACGCTGGGCCCTACAGATTCCTTTTCAGTTATTTTAGTTTTAGAAATGACTTTCAGCTGAACTTCAGCTTGTCACTTCCACAGAGTGTAAGCTAAACGTCACTTCCTTTGCTTTCAGTTTACAAAGCTCTTTCTACCTTAAAATCAGACCAGATATTGACCACCATTCTCTCCTAACTTTTTATGCTTACTGTTTTATATTGAACTTATCCAACATTTTGGAATACATTCTGCTGTACAGGTTAAGGACCCAGTTCACTTCATTTCCAAATTACTGCTCAGCACATGTGAGTGAGCATCTCTCACACACCGGAAGTTCTGACTTGGACTTCGGTTTGTTTCAGAACTTTTTTGTTGTTGTTGTTGACTGGTAGGTTCCAGGCCCAGGGCACATCTGACCAACCTATGGCTTTAGTATCAGACAGCACCAGCTCCTCTCTGTCATTCCTCTCTCGGGTTTTTTGTTCTTCTTGCAACACAAATTTTAGAACCGAGGTACCAAAACCCTCTGCATAGGTCCTGTCTGGACACGTTTCCCCTCTGAACTCCTCAGGGCACAAGGCGTGGTGCGTCTATACAGGGCTGAGCCCACATCCCTGCTGGGGGGTGGTGGGGGGAGTCAGCCACGTTCTCCTGATGGAAGTCCGTGGTTTCTTTGCAAAAGCTAAGTTCTTCCCAGTTATTCTAAATTTCTGTTGCTACAGTGAGGGACCTCTCTTTCCCTATTGCACTTCAAACTGATTGCTGCCAACATTAAGGGACTGGTTCAAGGTGACCGACCCAGCCTCCTACACAGGCCTTCAGCATCCATCCCAGACTCCGAGCAATGTAACCCTGTGCCCTCTGTCTCTGTGACAACGCCAACCTCTGCCTCCCTCCGCCTCCCCAAACTCTGAAGTGGGTACAGGCAGCAACCCTGCCTGGACAACAGGACTGCATGCTCCCAACATTTGGGGGCTTCTTTTCTTCCACCTTCCACACCACACCAGTCACTCAGCTTCCTCACAAACTGCGTGCAGACCAGAGCACCTCACCTCCCCAGTGCCCCTCTGGGGTCAGGCCCCACCGGCCTGCCCACTTGCCTGCACCATCCTAGGCCACCCCAATCTCTGCTTGAGGCCTCTCTGTGCAAGCACACAGCCCTCCTGAGGATAAAACATCACACCGTGTGGAACGTGCGGTTCTGGGACCCTTCCCAGTCCTCAGGCCTACCGCACAGTGGGGCTCTGGATCTGCCTCCCAGACCACCCGTCATCTGTGAGCAGCCTGTCCCCTGGGCTCAAAGGAGCCACAGCCACCACACCCCTGCCCTACACAGCCACCTCACTCTGCCAGTCCCTCCTCGACAAAGTCACCCTTCTACCCGCTCCTGTCCCCACTGTCCTGACCCCACTCAGAAGTGCAGTGCCTGAGTGGGTGCTCAGCCAGGCACGTGGCCCAGCCCACTGGTCAGCCCTGCTGTGACCACCGGCAGCTGGGCCATCCTCTGTGCACAGAGCCAAGG